GAGTCAAGACTTCCTTGGTGCTTTTCTTGCCATGTTTGGCTTCTGCATCCCTGCTGCGTTACCGAACCCCTTGCTAAGGCCTCAGGAGGTTTGCGCTGACTGTGGCATGCCTTCACCAAGTCTTCAGAGTCAGAGTCGTAGCTGGAGATGATTTGAATCTCAGAGCCTCTATTAATATTTTTACATTTTAAAGTATTTTTGTTTAGTTGTTTTCTTTTGGGATTTTTTGTGTGTGTTTGGAATTTGCTTAATTTTAAATCGAACTCAATAGTTTTAGCCAAACACAGAGGAAGACTAAGTCCTCACACCAGAAGCTGCTCCAATTAGCATTTAATGGGAAATTGTCACCACGTGTATCGTTGCGGGCCCTAGACCTTCATCAGACATCAATCATTTTAGGTAACAGTATAAATATCAGCTGTAGTTTGAACATATATGATGATAGTAAAAATGAAAGGATCAAAGTCCTACATCCTTATTAGCTAACTGTTTCATAAGGGTCACCTTCCTCTTACAAACTTTGGATAAATATCAGTTCTTTTGCTCGCTAAATGATGTACTAAATTGTATTTTTAAGTCTTGAAAAACATGTAAGCAGTATTGAATTACCGTGGTTTTTTCTTTTCCTTTGTCATTCACTTGATTTTTCAGATTGGGAAAGGAAGGTTGAATAGATGAATGTTGAAAGAGTGTCTTGGCCTCGCTTAAGCTCCACAGTTTTAAACATCAGACAGGTCTTTCATAAACCTTAAATAAATGCTCCACTATCACTCAAATTCAATTCTTTGATGAGATGTTGCATTTACGTCATTCATTGTATTTTTTATTTCAACAGACGACTCCCCTAATATTTATTATTTGTTTATTTAGTCATGACCAGATGACTTTTCTTCAATAAAAACGAATAAAGGTCAGGACCAAAAGAGATTTCTCTTTGTGTTTGTTCATAAAATAATATTTTAAAATAAGCATTATGGATGTTGAGTGGTATTTACTGTCATTGTGTTAAGCAATGTTAGCTCTAAGATGATGGTGTGTGCTTGCATTGTGTATTATAACTCCCTCTTACAGCTATGTTTTTTTAAAATAGTCTTATTTGCATGAGTCAGAATGGTATTTCTCACTCACCACACACACACACACACCTATACACACACTCATACTCTCTCCATACCCAGTCCTGGGTCAGAGATCAGTAGGCTCAGATGTGTTTGTGTCCACACATGCATTTGTTATGTGGTTTGGAGGCTCAGATGTAAACCCACCTCATGTTAGACCCTGCAGCCATACTACAGCGGGGGCTTAAAGATCCCCCGCACTGGCCGCTTAGAAAAGGCCTGAAGGAAACACACACACACACACACACACACACACACACACACACACACACACACACACACACACACACACACACACACACACACACACACACACACACGCAAGCACAATGGCTGGTCAGAAATCCTGCAGGAAACTGCACAGGGGAATTCCTGCCAGGCCAGGGTGGATTATTTTCCCCCCTACTTCCTGTTTCCCCTCCCCCCCGCCCCCGCTGTGTCTGCACCGTCTCATCTTCTTCCTGAGGCCATTGCGTTGACTTGCGAAGCATTTAAAATACATGTTGTATCACACTTGCAGGCAATACTTCATTTTGATCTTTGTTGCAAACCTTTGATATGTAACATAACTAAACTTAATTATTATTTTTCTATTAATATAACATCAAGGCAAAGCAGCAAGCTTAAATACCCAATGTTCAAAAGCTGTTTTGACTTTTAGGTACTTATTGAATCATTATAATAATATATTTATATAATAATAATGATAATGATATAATGTGTAAAACAACTATCATGCAAATAACACTTTCTGGTTCAAAGGCTCTCATATCAGGGAATTAGTTGTTTTACTTTTATTTATTTTCTAGATTCATATCTTTGGGATTTGGGACCATTTTGGGGAGGATCACAATAAGACAATTAAAAGGGTTGGAAATTGTAGATATACGGTAATTTGTGGGTTTTGTTATCAGCCAATTGATCAAACAACTACACAGTCGGATGGTTAAATTATTAGTGATCACTTTCAAACATACACTGTGTGTATCAAGATAGTTCAGGAATCACATATTTGTCACTGTGGTCTGATGCCTTTAAAAGAAAACAGCTTTGATATCATTCAGAATGTGACTTAGACTGAGAGGATTTCGGGCCTCTGTTGTATTTCTCATTGCTTGTGAGTTTGTTGATAAATAGTCATGGCCCTCGTCCTCTGCCACCTTAACATTTACCCCACACGGTCTCAAAGAGCACTCGGACATGTCAAATGATCAGGCTGCTAATGGTCAGCAGCACAGAAAGAGACGAGAGGACACGCTGAAAGGCTTTGTCTCTGCCTGTATAATCAATTGACCTGATTGATAAGGGTGTGTCAGGGATACATTGTGTGTGTGTTATGTTTCCCACGCCCAGTGCTTGGGCTCCTTTTGTGTGTGTGTGTGTGTGTGTGTGTGCTTGTTTGTGTGCGTGTGTGCGTGTGTTATCTGACCCTCTCAGCTCAGGCTCTGTCCATCAACACCTTTCTCTGGAATGTTAATGAAAAACAACGAGGGAATCCCAGAGAATTTACCTCTGTTTCTCTCACTCTTCCTTTTCTCTGCCATCACCTCTCATTTTTGTTTCCCAAGATGCGGTGGAAGTTTACAGTCTCACTTTAGTCCTTCACTCTATTCTTTGTTTCTCTCCAGTGTTCTGTTCTGTTTACAGGCACTAGTTGGTCTAAACTCTTGATTGATAAGTCACAGGACAGAAAATTAGGGCTCATCCCTGACACTTTGCAAACCCAAGCGGCACCTCATAAGTAGTTTGCTGAACTACTCATATGTAATGTCAGTGTCCACACAGGCAGCATGTAGGACACAACCCTGTCTTTATACATTGGGATTTTCTTTCGATGATGGCCCTAAATTACTGTTTCTTTCCCTTTTAATATGTATTTCTTTAGTGTGTTTAACCAGAAATCTTGTTGTGACATATTCTCCAGTCATCAAAGCTATAATTTATTATTCAACAGGATAACAAGTATGTAACAATGAAACAAATGTTGATGTGTTGTTTTCTTTTTTCCATGAACCGCTGGCAAAAATGACAGGGAAGATTATTTTACTCAAACTTTTCCCGACAACAGTATGAGAGCCTGCTGCCTAAGCATGCTTTGTTTCTTTTCTAACCTGTTGAAATTGTAAAAAAAAAACTAGTGATTCTGGGATGTGAAAGTGCTGTTTTGTATGCAGCTTGGAGCAGCAAGTTAACCTCTTGATCCATTACGAGTTGACTTGCATTTTGTCGGCCAAACTGCTGCAATTTTTAACTGCTCTTTTATTTAATTTATTTATTAGGCCGTGTAATTTTAAGAGAAAAAGCACAACACCTAACTCAGACTTTATAAATTTAAACTTTTATTAATCTGTAACTAAAAATGGAAACATTTTCTGGATTGAGCTCTATTGTGATTTTTTTTATGTTTGAGATTTATTTCCCCAGCAAATGTATAATCCCTTCGTTCTCATCTGACAAGCAAGAATATATTTGGACTTTTGGAAAATCTGACTGGCGTGTTCAAAGTTATCTGTTTTAATAGGTCAAATATTTGTTGATTAATGAAAAGATATTCACTTGGGGTTAGATTCCTTTAAGACACAGTGATGTGCCAGTAGGCTCATCACGAGAAACTCATGCTGTGCAGTCTCACAGAAGTCTTTCTTAAATAGCAATTAGTATCCTAAAATGTCTTTATTTTACTTTGCAAACAGCTTGCTCAACATTTTCATATTTCAGGATTGTGAAAAAATGAGACGGTGGAATAAGCTGATTTTAACTGCTTCAAAGCTTATTTATACAAAAACAAAGAAAAAGAAGGATATTTGCATCAGTTATTCAAAATAAAAACCAGAAACCGACACATACACGGAAAGCTGCAATATTTGTGCCCTAACTAAGGAGTGTTAGCGTAAGCGGAAGAAGCAGTGTGCAGAGAGGTTACAGTGGAGCTGCTCTCTCCGGATTTGGCTCATGATGTCTGTTAACCACCACTCGTAGAGGAAGTCTGGCTAAACTGTCACCAGCCTCCAGGCAATCGATCCTCCATGAGACCCCGGGGGGTGAAAAAAGAGCGCTTGGGGGTGGGTCTTGTGTTTCTAGGGTTTTCTCAACACCGAGCCTTACAAACATGTTGAGTCCCATGCCGTCTCAAGATCACTGCATATTTTAACCAGCTTTCTTTGAAAGTGGGTGTGGATGTGAGCCTGCGCTACATGTAATTGTCCATGTAAGTGTGTGAGTGTACGTGCACCTGTCTGCTCATATGCACGTGCAGAAGTGTCAGCGTGCGGGGCGTGCATGTGAGGTGTAAATGCGTTGGCACCCAGTCGCCACCTCGGGGGTGCGATAGGAGGGTGGCGGCGCGTGTGATAGCCAGGGTGTAAATTGAGCTGTGATCGTCCAAGAAGCAAGATATGATTGGATGAAACATTGAGACCTTGTGTGCTTCAGTGCGAGTCACTTAGACACACTGTGCTCTAAACTGAAGCAGGCTGAATTCCTGTCTCCTCCTGCCCGGTTTTTTATCTCTCCTCCATCACTCTCTTTGTGTTTGTGGATTTCTAAGCTTTCATCTCCCACTGAGCCTTTGAAATGTAATGCTCTTTCTTTTTATCTCTGTTTTTGTCTACCACACACATCCTCCCTCTTCTGTTCTTGTATCCTAATAACTCCTACCTTAGTTTGTTTTATTTTTACCATTTCTTTAGCTATAATCTTTCACTGAACACATGCGTATGTGCTCCAGTATGTAACCAATGTTCCTAAAAATGCACAGAGCTATAAAATAAGGCTTTAGGAGGTCTGTTTTCCTTTCTGTGTCTGTCTTTATTCCTTTTTTCCCTGTATCATGTCTCAAGCAGCTTCACTCATCTGTTTCTCCTTTCTGTTCTCTTCTCTTAGAAACACAAGGAGCGTGACAGGCACAAACCGAAACACAAGAAGACCTCCATGGACATGTCTCCCTCCCTCGTCCTTCCCAACATCATGGTCCCAGAAAAGGTGAGCTCTCTCCTCTTCTTTTCACTCCTTAGTTTTGGTGAATCGTGACAGAGAGGGTCAGATTTTACAGCAGTGGTGGCTGCTTGACTTCTTTTCTTTCTTTCAATTTCGGTCCTCTCATTTGTTCACCTGCATTGTTTCTTTAATTGTATTTCCCTGTTTTTGGTGCTTCCCTGTCCTCCCTTAACGTTCAACCATTTTTATTCACTCTTCCTCCTCCCTTAAAACCTCCTTTCTCCAGCCCTACAACAGCAGCAGCTCTGGAGGAGGAGTCCCTTCCCTGCCAGCATCGTCACAGAAACGGCTGGACGATGGCAGCGCCCGTTTTACCAACGCCAACTTTCAGGAAGTTTCGTCCGTTCACTCCGGCAGCAGCTCCAAAGACGGCTTAGCTGCAGATGTCGGGAAGGTGGCATCTGAGGTTAAGAGCAAGAAGAACAGCGGGGCGACTCATGCCGTGGGACAGAGGGGCGGCCGCAAGTCTCTCACCTCCTCAGGGAAACCCCTACCCTCCGCTGTGGTCACCATGGCAACTTCTTCCACATCTGCCTCTGCTTCCACTGGGCCGTTCCACCAAGGTGAATTGATGGCTGCAGATTTTCCTGTATTAAAATTTTCCCACAATAGGGAATTAACCCTGTAGTAAATAGAAAAGCAAAGACTGCCCACCCACCAAAAACAGCGTTATTAAGACTTAAATAATACTGTGATGGTGTGTGTACGTGTGCAGAGTATTTTTTAGATTTTGCCCAGACACCAGACTTTTGAACGTGGCCGTGATAACAGTGTTTCGTCTTGCCTGGCCTCTGGCTCCTGTAATCGGGGGCCTTGTCTGGGAAAAAACCAACAAACACACACCCACACACAGGCACAAACACAGAAAAAGAAAGAACATGTGGAGAGGTCAGGACCTGAAAGGAGTCAGTGCTTACACTGAGCTCATGTGTTTTGTACTATCAGAACCTTGAAGCCCCTGTCAGGTGTGTTTGTGCGTGTCTGTGAGAATCCATTTATTTGTCTGCTTTCAGGGCAGTTTGTGTGTTACATGGGAGGACTATGTGATGAGGGAGGACTGACTGTACAGCTGATAAAGAGTGGGAGAGCAGATAAAATGCTCATATTGAACATCCCTTTGTGCTGCTCCCATGATGATGGAGAGGGGAGTCAAATGGAAACTTCCATCTGTAAAGTCTTGTTCCCACTTGTGCCTTTTGTCTCATTTTTATCTCTTTACATTCTGTCCCTCTGTAATGCAGGGCTTCTGTTGACGAGTGCCAGCAAGACGGCGTCAGCCTCTTCCTCCTCAGACTTCTTAAGTTTCTCAGATCCATCCTTGCGTCCAGGGGGCGGGACAACCTTTTCCTCCCCGCCGTCTTTCAGCAGCTGCCTTGTTAAGCCAAGCTCAGAGGGCGGAACGTCAGAGGGAACCACAACACTTTTTGGTTCTCTTATGTCCGCCACTACAGCATCTGCAGGTACCAGATGATAATGGTCACTTCTAGCCTCATTTAAACATTTTTTTGTCTTTCAGTCAAGTCTGAGACTACAATTTACAGGGGAATAACCCGCCTTTTTAAGGAACAGAGGTATATAATAACAGTTAAAATCATGTTCTAATGACGTTTTTAGCATTATTATAGAGCAGGGTTTATTGTTAAAGAGGTTCTCCATGAATTTAGCAATTAAAATATATGAATTCTCTTCTTAAGGTCCTATCACATACCACTTGTTAAACCTTGGAATAAGTATGGACAGTTTAACTAGGGACACTAGACATGCTATATTCTAGGGAGTGTCGGATCCAGTATTTTTTTTTAGCTTGTCCCATTTTTAGATCATAAAATTTGGATATCTCGACCTCTGCTGTGCCAGTTTTTCCAGATCCTGCAACTTAATCGCTCGAGATCTGTCTGCCATTCATTTCACAAAATGACGAATGAATGTCTACAAATGAAGAGTACAAAATCCTGGCAATGTGAATATTTTCTTGCTTTCTTATGGGGAAAAAAGACTTCAATGATAGTAAACAGCACGTCACTGGACTGCTCTTCAGACGGAACAGAACATAATTAGAGTTACGTTTAGTTTGAATCCTTATTTATAAAAGAACTAATCAAACAGAATGTGCTTTCCTCCTAAAGTAGATCCTTTGATGGATTTGAGGCCAACCAACAAAAACAAAACACCTAGAGACTGCAGGCTCTACACTTAAATATTCCGTTCTGCTTTCTTATCATTTCAGTGGGCGGGAAGCTGTATGAGAATTCCCACAGTCACACAACGAGCGAGACGACAAGCCTCAGTGGGTCCACTGGCTACAAACGGCCCCCGCCCTCCAGCTCTGGGCCGGGGATCGGAGGAGCCGCCGCCGGAGGAGGGGAGGACGGGGTGAAAAAGAAAAAGAAGGGCAACTGGCGAAACAGATTTGGACCTTGCTTTGCCACTGATGTGAAGCCTTTGGAACCGGCTCCCTCCCTGACTCTCGCCGCCTCCTCCACTGCCAACACCTCCTCCTCCACTGCCTCCCCTGCCACCTCTACATCCTCAACGCTCTCAGGCCGGCCAGGCTTGGTTTCCAGCAGTGGATTAGGGCTGGGGGTGGTGGGAGGAGGAGTAGAGAGGGGGCTGGGGGTCATGGGGGTCAGCGGTGGGATTCAGAAGTCCCCATCACTCCTCAGGAATGGGAGTCTACAAAACTGCGGCTCCACAACCACTGGTCCAGGTGAGGAGGACACAGCACGTTAACACACAAAACACAACAATGTCCTCACAGATCTCAACGTGAGAATTACTCTCTCAGACCCCCCGTTTAGAAATGTATCCTTATAATTTTGTTCTGATGAGCAAATTACCATAAATGTAGTTGGCAGCTTAAATGAGGAAACAGGCTGGTTTTATTTAAGACTTAGTTAGTCAAACAGGTGTGTCCCTTTGTGCTCACCGTAGTGATGAAAAAGAATAAAAGGGGAGTGGATTGTGTGTGGCTTTGTTGCAGCAGTTGTTTTGTTCCTCATGTTGAGCTCCTGACTTGTGGAGCTGCCCAGCCTTCACCACATGTTTGAGGATCGCCTCTGTGCAGCAAAGTATTTACATTACCAATCGCAAATGGCAAGGATTTGACACACCTTTGTAATTGGCTCCCTGTGTGCTTGCATGTGTGTACCTGTGTATGTGTGTCAGAGTGCGGGGTCCATGTGTTATTTGCTCACACGTGGAAGCGGCCTGTATGTTTTTTTTTTTTCTCCATCGTGTTCAGTTGCTTGGCAACTGTCTTTATGCTTTGGAGTTCCCCTCTGCTGATGGAAATGGCTCAGTACAGCCCCTACAGAGCCCACATCTCCCCTTTCTCGCAGAATTACCACCCTTTTGTTTCTCTTTCCTGCCGCTCAGCTGCTCTCTCTTACCTGCAGTCTGTTGCTTCCTCGTCTCACCTGTTGATGTTTTATGAAGCTGCGTGTGCATGTATGTTTGCACTGTTCCAATTCCTGAAGAAAATTAAGAAGTTCATTTTTCTAATTAAACCAATATCCATACTAATCATTAGGATCAGCAGATCTGATTCTGATTTGTTCCTGTTTCAATAGTTTTCGCGACGTTTCTTGAATTAGAGACCTCATGTCTCTTTGTATTTTACTGGGCCTTTCGTATTTGTGACTCTTTTTGAATTCTAAAATAAGACTGCACAATTCAAACTTCTCTTTTAATAATTATTTATAACATCTGTAAAATGTCTTTTTTGTGAAATCTTCAAATCAGTGATTGTTAAAATATGACATATTAACATTGAAACCATCAGAGCATCTATTAAATACATTATAGTTGACTGTAGTGTTGTTTATAAAGTATGAGGTTATTGTGGTTGATGAGTGAGTGTGTAACAACAGACTAATTCAAATCTAATATTAAATGCCTGCTATGGTTTTACTGACTTACTTAAGCTTCATTTAAAAACTATTGTATAGGTATAAACTTAAATCACTTGAAACAATAGAAGACTGATGTTGTTTTTGTGTGCTTGCATTTGCCTTCAGGTGCATAGATAAAGTTATTTCATGGCAATGTGGCTTCAACCCAGATTTAGTTTTTGAAATATTACCCTGTATTTAAAGGCTGAAGTGTGAATTTACAACAATTCATTATAGACCCAAATATTGTCTTACCATAGATACATATGATGCTCTTCATGCTTTCAAACCTTCTCAAAGTCTTTATTGGATATTTTATAGTTTTACAGCTTTAAGCATTAGACAATAATTCAGACCTGAGGTCTGGTGTTGTAAACGCTCTGAATATAATTTTTTGCAGCCGTGGTGGTTGAGTATAATTTTGTTTGTGATTCCACGTCCATCTCAGTTTTTTGGTGCTTTTCCCTGCAGCAGTGGCGGCATTTCTGACCGCAGCTGGTGAAAGCAGATAGGGAAAACAAAACAGTGGTGGTTATGAATGGCTGTGTGTTAAATGTATGTGTCTGTCTGGTGAGCGTGTGTTCTCCTTACTACTGTAAATATTTAGCCAAGGGTTAATGCAGGGCAGTAATGGGGAGGATCTTGACGTTTACCCCCCCTCCCTCCATCCTGTCTGCTGACTCCACTGCGCTGATAGATAGATAGTTAGCCTGATAGATATGTGTGTGAGGTTGGGGAGATGGAGGCAGGGGGTTAGATTTTGGTTAGGTTAATGTTTGACGGCAGGGGGGTCACTGATGGGACGGACAAGCTGGTAGAGTGCAGTGCTTTTCATGTGTGGGGGAGGAAAGATGCCTGGTGGTCGTGAATGTATTCAGTTCAGTCAGTGTGTGTGTGTGTGTGTGTGTAAAAACAAAAAGAAGCCCATTAGATGCTTATTTGTGCTTATTCCTGCTTTCATTGCCAATATTTTATTTATATTTGTAATACCCTGGGCTGAGACTTTTTCCTTTTTAAAGTTAAATCATAATTATCAGCCTCTTGCACTCACTGCAAAAATAAAATGTGATGTGAAGTTGTGAAAACCAGAGAGATATTCAGTGAAATGCATTTCATTTGAATTTAAATTAAGCTACTCGGTTAGTCATCAAATATATCTGATATATCATATATATAATTCATCCTTACTGTATTAGAAGTTATTAGGTGGAAACACATATTTTCATCTGTCCAGAATAAAACATTTCCTGCATTTAAAAAGGTTAATTGGAGATTTATTGATACTTAAAAAAAAATGCTTTGTTCACAATCTCACTTTTGTTTTCTATTTTAAATTTAGCTTTACATTTTTTGTGTTCCGCAATTTAGTTTGAATCACTATATTTACAAAAAGTGTTAACAATGGAACACAAATAGACAGATTATTAAACACTTGTAGCTAAAGAGAAAAACAACACACGTGCATATCCACACACACACTCTCACAGGCACGCACAGGCACGCACACACACGCACACACACACATTCAGAAGAAAACCTCAAAACAAAAAAAAATCTGAATTGGTCGCAAACAATTTCATATTGACAGCTCTTTCATGTACAAAAGAAAATAAGTGTGTGTTCTTTAGCATCACACCGTGCCAAAGAAATGCTTCAGGAAAGTGAATATTTGGAGTCTGACTAACACGACGCTGGTCACTGCTGAGTTTGTAGCCTGAATCTAGTTTATTTTTTTTTAAACCCTCTAACGACTCAGAATAACAGAGACGCTTGAATTTGTTTGTCTTTTCAAATTGGTAGTGATGTTGCTTTATCAGCCTGTAAAAATCTTACATAGAGTTTGGGAGAAATGCATGCACACACACACACACACACACACACACACACACACACACACACACACACACACACACACACACACACACACACACACACACACACACACATGGACAAGCTCAGCCACATACAATCATTTACATTGACTGTCTCCTAATGTGGTTTTCTCCCTCTACACATATTTTTTTTGTTTGAATACATTTCTGTTTGTGTTTGATGGTAGAACGATAGATGTCTTTTGTTTGCTGCGATGGTATGCACTGTTTGTCTCCATCTTCTGTTTTAAAAACATGATTAAACCGTCTGCAGCAGGAAAAAAGAAAACAAGCAGAGGGCTCCAGCATTCGGCTTCTTAGATAGCTTTGAGTCAAAACTCTGATTAACTAGGTAATAATGGTCATGTATGATGTCATCCACTTTGTTTTCACATTGTTTTAACCCTCTCTAAATAGACACCGTGGATTTCCTATGGAGATAATTCCAGCTTGAACTAATCAAGGTGGATATTTTTGAGGCTTACTGAGCAGACGTTCTGGGCAGGAAGGGAAAAGGAGCAGGAAGGTCGAGCAGTGGAGGCAGTTGTGCTTCAGGGGCTTAAAGTTATTGATCACATGGACAGGGTAGAAGTTTTGTGTGTGTGTGTGTGTGTGTGTGTGTGTGTGTGTGTGTGTGTGTGTGTGTGTGTGTGTGTGTGTGTGTGTGTGTGTGTGTGTGTGTGTGTGTGTGTGTGTGTGTGTGTGTGTGTGTGTGTGTGTGTGTGTGTGTGTGTGTGTGTGTGTGTGTGTGTGTGTGTGTGTGTGTGTGTGTGTGTGTGTGTGTGTGTGTGTGTGTGTGTGTGTGTGTGTGTGTGTGTGTGTGTGTGTGAGAGTGATGCATTGCTCTGTCTCTTCTCTTTCTATCCAGACACAATTTAAAAAAAAATTTAAAGGATGGTTTCTATTAGTTTGAATCTATTCTTTGTAATATTTTTCCCACCTGAATTAGAAAGATTGTTTGTATGCCGACAACTGTTCGTCAAGTTTTTGAATTTCTTTGAAGAATAGCAGATTCTTTTGTTGAGCATGTCAGCCAATTTTCAGCACAAACCTGAAAATAACTATATTTGGAGAAAGAAAGATTTCAACTATAAATGACAATATTTATTTTAAAAAGTCAGAAGACAGAAAAAAAACCCACATTTATGAAATACAACTTAAAAATGAAACTGTTTATGAAAAGCGTTCACATTTTAACTCCCTCTTATATTTCCTGCATGCTTAAAAAAATCTGCAGGGCAAAATCAAATTCTGGAAACTCGATGGGAATTGATTCATTAATTTTTTTAATTAATAAAAAACAAAATTGTATTTTTTTTTTTTTTTTCAAGCCATGCATTGCTCTTGATCTATTTAAATAATCTCTCCGTTCATATATAAGAAATGAAACCTTTCATAAAATGAAGCTCATTGTTGTATCTGCTGTTACTGGTACTGTTTCTGCACCATCCCTTTGTGTGCGACTCGTTTCCAGCTAAACTCTGATAAACTGTTGGTTTGGCCTCTAATCCAGCTGCTAAAAATCTCGCAGCAGCTTGTGCCCCCTGAGTCACTGCAGCCCTGCTTTGGGTATCAATTTTTCTGGTGCATATTACAAAGCGTTATAAATAGTATGTAGGGCCATGTAGTGTTCCTATGTCTCTCTCTCGTGCTCTCCCTCTCTCTCCCTCCACCCCTCCCCTCCTTTCACAAAGATCTCTTGTTCCCCTTGTGAATGTGTTGCTGCCCTGAGCCATTCAGGCTTTTGTGGGGCTGAGGGGCCCTCCACCCCTCCTCCTCCTCTGCTGGGGTCAAAGGGGGGCAGGGGCAGGGCTTATCCGTGGTTAGTGGGCGAGCACAGGGGTGAGGGAAGGGAGGGAGAGAGAGAGCTAAGAGATAAGTGAATGGAGCATGCGTGTGGGTGTGTGAAAACGGAGCAATATATTTAAGTGGGTTAGTTACAACAATGTATTTTTCGCTATAAAATAACGTGTTTTATCTAAATGATAAGATATCATTATCTATAATCATCACTATAATGTGAATGATTAGACTTCTACACTTAGTGTCAGCTTTTCAGTGCGTACACACGTCACAAGTTTATATCAACTTTTTAACTCATGTGAAATGAATGAACGACTTGATGACATACTCAGGCACTTCTATGATCTTAATAATGTATTACAGTTGTTGTCTAATTAATAATAATTCACTCAGTGTATTAAGCCAAAAATGTTGCAACTTTTGTTCATGTTCCCTGTTAATGATCCGACAATGGCATTTTGTCTGCATGGACTTCTGTTTTTTAGAATTATATATTATATTACTTTCATCTAAGAAACAAAAGACACAAGGAAAATGGTAAATACGGCTGCAGGTGAAATGTGTTTAATTGAAAAGTCGTCATTGGTCGTTTTAAATGGATGAGTTCAACTTGTACAGGAAGTGACGGGGATATTACGTGAAGAAACATCCACAGCTTTTTCAGTATTACAAAATGCATTTAGTGAACAATAAGGTTTATAAAGGTATGTTTTGCAGCAACCAGTGTTTCACAGATGCTACTTTAACATGAATTCTTAATTATTAGTGTTGTATGACGCTGTAACAGTGAACCTTCTTTGCACAATACCAGGACCCTGAAACAGCTACATCAACCGTCATTCACTTTTTTAATTTACTCCTTTAATTTTCCTCCGTTATAATCATGTGTCTTTGATATCAACTGTCAGAAACTGTTCATTCAAGGTATTTTTAAAAATGACAATGAAATATTTACTGTTCCCTCTGATTTTTCCACAGGTGGTGTTTTCTCTTGTGCGGCGGATGCGTCGTCGTCAGGGACGGGAGCTGTCGCTGTGGGTGGAGCCACTTCTGAGTTGTCACAGCAACAGCAACCCACACCTTCGCTGGCCCCTCCCTCTCCGTTCACTGCCACCGCGCCGCTAACCAGCACAGCCTCCCCACATGTGAGACTAAACACACGCGCACACACACACACACACACACACACAAACACTTCATCTGTCAATTCACACACATCTCTGGCGTCTTTGAGTTTAAGTGCAGATAACCTGTGGGAACACAAATAAACCAAAGCACATTAATTAGGCGTCTTCCGCACCAAATCTCTCAGCACTATTATTAATCCACTGCATGTTAATTATGTGTGAAATGTGTGTGTCATGACCTTGTGTTGATTCTGTTTTCTCAGCAAGTTACTCTAGGGCTGTGTTCACACTGCGAGCCTTAACGCTCAATTCAGATCTTTCGCTCGGATCAGATTTTTTTTTTGTTTTGGCTGTTCACATTGCTTTTAAAACGTGGCCTGCATCCAACTCCTGGGGGAATCCATGTATTAAAAAGTGTCTCAGATCTGATTTGAAAAAATCCGATTCCATGAGACTTGTGCTGTTCCCATGGTTATAAAAAAAAATCTGAGTCGCGCAGGAGCAAAAGAACATCTGATTCAGGTGACTTCCTGCTGCAGTGTGAGCGCTGCTTAAGGTTCACCTGTGGAGGGCTTTCATGCTTTACTAGGAACAAATATTACTATCATGATAGTTTAATTTATATTGTTTTTCTAATTAAACAAGAGATGGTAACACCTGTGATTCTCATGCCAAATTGATTTGCCCTTAGTTATTATGGTCTGTATTTGTGTCTGATTTAAAGTTAGTGCATCTCTATAACGGTAAATGTTCAGAAATGTGCTGCATTTCCATCAGGAGAATAACACACAGGGAAAAATGGAAACCCATCATTTAAATTAAAGTAGGAAAATGTAGTGTCCAGTATAATTATTTTCTAAAATAAAACCCACAATGCAACATTTGATGGTAATACACACTCAGTCTGATTACAAAAAAGACTTCTGGACATCGTGGGGAAACACTCTTTCTCTCTTCATTAAGTTCATGACTGTAACCTTGGTGCCTGTATTAGAGAAACCTCTCCTTTTGATGGATTCATTTGAAATGTTTGGGGTATTTTTTTACGGACAATTAGTTTATTTTAACTTTGTTTGGTTTTGTGTCTAATACTATTTAATAATCAGATGTTAAAGCAGCAGTTCAGCTAGTTAATCCAGACCAATGATGGGGGTTAGTAATAGTATTACATTATTTTATGTTTTTCTTCAGAGTTACAGTTTTTGGTGAATCCTGTTGGCTTACATTCACTGATATTCAAAAGTGAAGACATTGACTCTATTCGGTCAGTCCAACTCGTCCACTGATCACTGCGCCTCATTTCACAAAAAGAAGAAGAAAAAAAAACTCATCTTCAATCACTGACCCCAGTGTCCATTCTTTTAAACCCCCTCTAAAGACCACGCTCTGTCTCTGTCCACCCAGCTCCATTTTTTGTCCTCCTGTGTCCACTTACCACCTCTCTCTCTCTCTTTTTCTCACACACACTTTCTCTCACCCTCGACCTTCCTCCTCTCTGTCCCCATCCATTTCTCTTTTTCTCCCTCCGTTGTCCTGTGATGTAATGACATCTGACAAGCACCACAGTAGGGATGGAGGGATAGAAGAAGGGGGGGGGGGGAGAGAGATCAGGCCTGTGTGTGTGTGTGTGATGTGTCGATGTGTGTATGGAGGGGGTGAATTTGCTGGCCTGGCCTTCATCTTGCCCGCTCTTCTCTGTTTGGCACATATTATAGAAGAAGGGAGGCCCAGGGAAGCATGGGATATCACGCCTGTTTGCGGCATGTATAGATGAGTTTAAGCTGTAGCTGTGTGTGTACGTGTTTGTGTGTGTGAGGAGGAGAAAGGGACAGAAAGAGGGCAGCAGAAAGTCAGCGTGAGGAAGACTTTAATAGAGAAGGAAGGTTTGGTTTTTTGTTTTATTTCCTGCCGCTCCAGATTGTTAAAACCATGTGTGTTGGTTTGTAAAGTGTGAATCAGGGCTTTGGGCATCTTAAATACACACACACACACACACACACACACACACACACACACACACACACACACACACACACACACACACACACAGAATCAAGGAAACACACTCAGTCAGAATCGAGCCTGCAGAAATTATGCAACTCAAGAAAGGACGCCAACAACAGGCATCCCTCAGTGTGTGTGTGTGTGTGTGTGTGTGTGTGTGTGTGTGTGTGTGACAGAGACCATTTACTACTTTGAATCCGCTAAGAGACTCTCGGCCTACTGTTATTGGCTATCAGCCCGGGATAGAGAAAAGGGAGCACGAGAGAGACTTTGAATGAAAAATGAATGAAAATGAAAAATGAATGTTGATGGGAAAAGGGGGCCGGATTATGGCACTGAGGGGAGAACGAGGAGGAGGAAGAAAGAGGGGGTGGTCTAGAAAGAGATCTGAAGTCGTTTAAGTAAGAGAGAGAGAGTGCAGACAGATGGTACACAAACGTAACATTAAACAGGGGTGAGAATTTCCAAGATGTTTACTAGATTTAATTATTTTACTAAACCTCTCGAGTTTATTTTCTAGTTTTATTTCCAACACTAAATGTTACGAATTTGATAAGGATGACTTCACAAGGCTGCAACTTTTCAACATTTTTGGTGTTCTTGATTTTTATTTTTCAGAACTATTTTTCAGCTTTTGCCCATTTACTTAGGTGCTTCTCATAATTGATCTTTTCAGTTATAAAGTTCAAAAAATTATTTTTCAAGCGAAGTAAAATTTATTTAAAATGTATATCTGGATTTAAACCTTCACCAGAAAAGACAACGCTCCTGAAACTTCTGCTCTTACTACACATTTGGAGCAGAGCTGCTTCCTGTGACTTGAATACGTTGTGTGGATGTCACATGCTTTCCTCGTGCCTTTAAAAAAAAAAAAAAAAAACTTTTTAGCTACCTAAACAGTCAGCCATTTTGTTCTTTGCGATAGACCTGATCTGAGGCTCCACCCTCGCTCTCCTCCCTCTAACCCCACCCTCCACTCTGTGGTCCTTATTTGGGAAATGTTGTAATTGGATTAAACTCTTTGCATCAGAAACACTTTGTCAGCATGTCAGCGTACTGTCGGGCGTCGAGGCAGTTTGAGCCCCATGTGTACGCCTGAGGATCCAAAATAAATCCTTGTTTTTGGGGATGTAAAATCACAGTGTTGTTTAGTCCATATTCGTACATGTTTTTCCCTCTACACTGACAAGAAATATATGAAAAAGCAGAGACCTGATTATTTAAAGTTTCATATCTGATTGATTCTCTTCCTTTAAAATGATTACATGTGTAATAAGATGCCAGTCTGACTTCCATAAAAGTGTAAAAAAAAATCTAAAGAGAGATTGTGATTTTCAAACAAGTTCTGACTTAAACAAAGTTCTGCTCAAAATCACTTTGTGTGTTTATCTGATATGAACAGAGCATGCGAATCAACGCAGCTACAAAAATAAAAGATACAAAAAGACAGTCCCTCCTTTTTTAAATAAATATCTGTCTTGACTTTGTTTTTAGCATCATAAATTCAGAAAATGTGTTTTGTAATGTTGTTTTGGAAAGTTGGCATTTCAGTTTTTCACAATGATTTTGTCGACTGATTATTTTTCGATAAATTAAGAAACAAATTGAATTTACAATCTAAAATGTGGATAAATTGTTGAAATAATTCTTGTAACTAATTAAAATATCGCTCTAAAAATGTTCATATCAATTTGATTTGTCATTATTATTTTCGTTTGCTCTGGTACATGCACAGGTAAAAATCATGTTATTGTTCTGTCATTTGATGTTTTCTAAACTGCTGCTGGAGTGTCGTACTGCCTTTCTCCAAACAAGCTGCTTTCCTGTTTCTAGAATACTTGTGAACCAATTAAGGCAAAAAAAAAAAAAAAATCCCAACAAAAGTATCAATCTCTGATTTACTAATCTATGAAGTGAATTTGACACTAAAACTCTTCTTCTCTTCAGGTGAGCGGTCTGCCGGGCTCAGTCTTCAACCTTGCCCCCTCCCACATGTTTGGAAACCGGCTCAACCCAAACTCTGCCATGGCAGCTCTCATCGCCCAGTCCGAGGCCTCGCCAGCAGGTACGACAACATACCCAATGTTGAGACGTGAGTGTGTTAGACAAAAGTATGGCCGCGTGTGTGAGTTTGTTAGAGAAAGAGAGAAGGAGATAATGGACAGCTCACGCCCCCTTGGTCCCACAGAGAGGTCAAGGGTCAGCATTTGTGATATTGTCAAGCCCCTCCCACTCAGCTCCAGTTACAAGCCGCTATCATCGCCCCACAGAAACACACACACGCACAAAACACAGCACATTAAGAAATCGCATAATGAACATGTTAAACATAGAAGTGGCCGGTGTAAGAAGGAGAGGAGCCTTTTTTTTTTTTTTTTAAGAGTGACAGAGAACAGGAAAAGGCTTTGAGCTGCGTTCAAGACCTCCTACAGCATGTGCATTGCAGAAGAGCTGATGAAGGAGTAAGACATGTCTTTAGTAATCAGAGTAGCCGCTTCCTGATACAAGACATCTGGTCGAACAGAGAAGAAGGGAGAGCAGTTTGCAGTGAGGAGGAGGAAGGTGGGTTCTTCCTGCTGCCGGTCAGCAGTCATCAGAGCCAGATCCACCCTGACCCGCAGGTCAACTCACTAATCAGGCTGAATGACGGGAGGCCACAGGGCCGTGTGTGTGTGTGTGTGTGTGTGTGTGTGTGTGTGTGTGTGTGTGTGTGTGTGTGTGTGTGTGTGTGTGTGTGTGTGTGTGTGTGTGTGTGTGTGTGTGTGTGTGTGTGTGTGTGTGTGTGTGTGTGTGTGTGTGTGTGTGTGTGTGTGTGTGTGTGTGTGTGTGTGTGTGTGTGTGTGTGTGTGTGTGTGTGTGTGTGTGTGTGTGTGTGTGTGTGTGTGTGTGACAAAATTTGCTTGTTGGAATTGAAAACGTGTTTTTACACCGTATCAGCAGCTTCTTTCACTCTCACAGAATTATTCTTTTCATACAAATATTTTGATAAATTCATTTAGTTGATTTGAGATTTAGTAGGTGTGATAAATAAAATGAAAGAGTGCATATGAGGTTTAACTCACAGATTGATATTTAATTCTTACATTGATAGTACCTGAGAGGAGGACTGTTGGCTCTTTATGTTGGGAGCCTGCTCTACAAACCGAGCTAAAGCAGGGCCCCTCTATCTGCTCTTCTGCATTTTTGACACCTCACCTGTGTTTATCACATGTTTCTTCTAAATGCAAAATTATTCCAAATTTTTTTTTTTAATGAATTGGCACCAGTTAACCTTGGGGTATCTGATGGCTATCTTAAGCTTCATCTGATTGAATCAAACTGGTGTGAGAGTTTGGCCAATATGCCCAGGCCTCCATCAGAAGGTAAAACGGGTTCATGCGGAGTGAGAGAGCATTACATGTTTGCATCAAGTCATTTCTCTTATTTATCGTATTAGGGTAACGAGGACTTTTTAATTCATTATGTGGTGGTAAAATACTTTGAAGCTGTTTTTCTCTTTAAGCAAAAATATCCCAGATTTGTATCTTCCAGTGATGAGATGTGTGGATTTATTTTTTTCTGTTTCATGTCATTATTTTATATTTATTTCTTGAATACAGTCAGCATCCACCTCATCATCATAGTCCACTGAACGTCTTGTAAAAAGATGTAAAATAAATAGTGAAATGTAATAATTATTTTCAGATGTTGGACAAAAACTACAAAAAGTGAGCGATACAGTTTCAAAGCAACAAACCATCGTGTTCAAGAGATAGTGTGAGATTAATTGTTTAAAATATTTTTTTATAAAAATAGTTGCTATTTATTTTCATTCTATTGATTAATGCTAACTTGATAGTATTTCCCTGCTTCAACATTTCTCTGTAATATTTCCTGCACACAGTCGTGTCCAGCGTGTGTGTGTGTGTGTGCGTGTGTGTGCTGCTGAACAGGCATGACGTTGTATTTGTCAACTAGTAAGGGTCATTTGAGCACAAATGTGCAAGGTGTGCGCGTGTTTGTATGCATGTAGCCTGTTTACTTTGGCAGCAGTTTGTCTTTGCTTTGGAGGGTCTGGAGGGAGGTGCCAGGAGGGAAAGGGTTACGAGAGAAAAAGGAGGCGAGCGACGGGCTGGAGTGGTGACCCGGCGGGGGTAAAAGCTGGGATTGACTGTCTTAAGTAGAGGGGAGTTTGTGAGAGTGTGTAAATGCTAAAGTGTGCGTTTGCATGTGTGATTCATTACTCTTACTGAGGAAAATGAAAAGAAGCGTCTGGCCAGGGGCCCAGAAGGGAGGACGTAGAGACTCACAGAAAGTAGAGAGAGAGAGAGAGAGAGAGAGAGAGAGAGAGAGTGACGGACAGACAGATGCCGATTGAATGAAGGCTCGTGGATGAGAGAGATACAGACAAAGTTTGGTAGTTTGCAAATCTAAGGTATAAAATAAATCCATGCTATGAAGGTGTAATCCAAAATGACACCTTTTCTTTTATTCTATTAAATCAAGAGTGAAACTTATGTGGCTTGAAGGTTAACACATCAAGTGTTTTATAACCCTGACTTTACACTCAGTGTTTTAATCATTTTAGGAATTAAAGATATATTTATTTTGTTGTAAAAAAAATAATCACAGACACTATTAAAAACATCATTTCTCACTCCCTCTCAGACTGCTTTTGAACAGTGTTATTTAACTACATTGAGTACATACAAGTTCTTAATAAAAGTCATGAAGCTTATCAAATGTTTTCAAGCACAATAATGAGCTGACATTATCTCACTTTGATTGTTGCTTAAGATCCTATCTGTGCTTAAATGTCAGTGCAGCCGATCAGTACAAAGCTGTTGTCTCTCAGTGAAAACATTCACATGCACACATTTTTTTACAGGACACCGTAGATGTGTAATCAATAATATTTAGTATGTCTATTACAGTGAGCAGAATACATACAATTATCAATCCTGCTAGATTCTGAAAGGTCAAATAGAAAGCTTAAAATATCACTTTTTTTTTAAAGTCAAACTCATAATCCTTACTACCTCAAAGTTTTTGTTTATTTGGTTAGTGATTTTTCTGAAAATGCGAGTGTGAATGTCAGGGTATTCAAGTTTAAAGTGTTTTGGACTGAAGTTGGGTCGTTGCAGGGTTAGCCTTGAGATTTACAATTAATTTTTCTGTGTGTGTGTTTGTGTGTGCAGATCAGGAGGTGGGTGACGGCAGCAGCGGCGTCGGAGCTCAAGGCTTCTCCATAAGAGCTTCTCCAAAGACCACCCCGCGGTGAGTACACACACACACACACATACACACATGCCCCCTCCTCACCAATCCCTTCCCATTTACATTCCTCACCCCCCTCCCTCCTTCATCCACCCCCCTTGCTTTTCCCTCCGCTGGCCCCTCGTCTCCTCTCTCTTCCTCTCACTCCTCACACACACACACTTTCGCTCTCACCCCTACAGGCAATTCTCGCTCTCTCAGCCAACGATAACTTGTGTTTTTGAAGGTGGTAACCATCCTTCAACTCCAGTTAGATTTTTTTTTTCCTCTCGGTTAAATCACACATGGAAGGACCGTCTGATTCCCTGCATCTTTATCATTTGGGAATATTTTCATTGATCTGTCCGGATGGGAACATTGGGGATACAAACCCATGTTTTTCTTTAATTCTATTTCTTGGTGGGATGGATAACTTCACTTGAGGAGGTTTGTTGAAGTTTGAATTATTTTTTTGTTATTCCACCGTTACACTGCTTATGTATTATTTCATGCGTTGCTTTAAGGGGACATCATTTGTGTGGGAAAGGGCAGCATTTGATTTCAAATTATTGTGACAGACCAGAGAGACTTTCACTGTCTTCTTTGTAACCTGCTTCTTGTTTTATTGGATATCTGTGTGTAAATATAGTTAGTTGCTCTTTCGCGTGATGTTTGCAGTGGGATTATAGAGCAGGAATGTCTTGCTTTTATTCTCCGTATTTCAGTTTCCCCCCCCCCACATTACGCACCTCTCTTTCTGTCCTTTCTACCCCTCCTGCTGTCCCTTATTTCCCCTCTTTCACACTCAACAGATTGTCTCTACTCACACACACATCAAGATTTATCGCATCAAGACAGTCCACTTCCCTCTTTCTGTCTCTCTCTATTGCATGTCCTCTCTCTCCCTCTCTGCCTCCTTCTCGCTCACTCTCTCTCACACACACCGAAAGCCTGGCCCCTTTTCATTAGAGGCCACTGTAACAACAAATTGATGTAGTTTTATAGCCAGCAGTGTCTATGTTTGTCTGACGTTTATGTTGGGTCGTTAATCTCCCCCATTGACCTCTCTATCTCTCCCTTTCTATCCACGCTCTCTCTTTCGCTCTCCCGTCATTCAGCTCTCCCATTGGTGGCCTGCAGATCCGCTATGACTCCTCGGGGTCGTTGCCGGGGCCAGGGTTGCTAGGGGCGGGGGGAGGCGGAGGAGAGGCGCTGCCCCCGGTGGCCACCAGCATAGAGCAGCTCCTGGAGAGGCAGTGGAACGAAGGGCAGAACTTCCTGCTGCAGCAGGGAGCGCAAGGAGACGGTGAGAGGACACAAACACACACACACAAACACACACACACAAACACACGCACACACACACACACACACACACACACACACACAAATACCTTAAGATGCATGACAATGCACACATACACAAATACAGATGTTGTTTGAGATTCTTTTATTTCCTGGTGTCAACAACACAATACCTGACTTTACATTTTATGTTTAATGCATATATTTTTTTCAAAATGAAAGCTGTCTTGCATTATTGTTACCTAAAAATTAAGTCAGAAATTACAGAAAGTTTTTTTTTTTTTTTTTTTTTTTTTAAAGAATCAGAACAATTATATTACATAATAAGATGACATTTTAATAAATCTATCAGGACTGTACATTTAGTGCCAGTTTTCAGTGCTTGGACACCTTCATGTCAGATTTAAGATTATCCAGCCATATGTGCTCTACACCTCATCATTACTTTACAGCCTTTACCTGTTTTGCACATTCTTTCCCAACACCCTCCCACTCACTTCTTCAGTCACTTTCTCACTTTATCTGGCATTGTAACATCTGTTGATCTCTGCTGGTTACCTGCCTATCTGACGACACCTTCTGAGAACTGTAAAGTAAAAATGATAAAGGAGAAGGCGTCCCAGTTGTTAGAAAGATCATTCTTCATTCAGGATGAGTAAGGATTACGTTTTTGTGTCAACAAATCATCCTCCACTTCCTTTCTGAGATGTCCTTGAGCTCTACGCTGAGTCTGCACAGACATCAGGGTCACTGTTCTGTAGCTGATCTTGACCTCTAACCTCCCTGTGCTGTATATCTGTCTGATCAGTCAGTGAACGTCATGGCTCTGCCTGAAGGAAGAAGTGGCCTTTGTTAAAAGTCAGAGCATCAGTGTTCTCTGTAGTGAAAAGACGACTCTGTTACAACAGCAGGCTGATTCTTTTACATTTTTATCTCACTCAAAATGTGTAGTATAAAGTACATTTAAAACTTTTTTATTCATGGAGCTGTAAATGATGCCACCTTACTTCATGATCAGTTTTTTTTTTTTTTTTTTTTTTTTTAAATGAATTCATTTTCTTCCTCTTGGTGTCTTTCAGTGGTGGGTATGTTGAAGTCGCTCCACCAGCTGCAGGAGGAGAACAGGAGGCTGGAGGAGCAGATCAAAACTCTGACCATGAAGAAAGAGAGACTGCAGCTCCTCAGCGCTCAGCTTTCAGTGCCTTTCACCCCATCCACAGGCTCCTCAGGTACACACAACACACGACACACAAACACACTCTGTGAAATAAATGTGTACAGTTAATAAAGTAAATTCAAAATTAATTGAATTAGATATTGTTTCTTGTTTTGATTGCACATAGGTAGCAGATGTAAGATGTGCTAAAAGAAAGCAGGGTGTTAATGAAGACAAATGTTTACTCAATGTCCAGTTTACTACACATGGATATTCACTATTTATAAGAGCCCAGTAATTAGAGATAGAAGAGCTTGAGTCCAATAATCAATCAGTCAATCGCAAAGATACAATTCAGTTCATTGAGTCTAACAGTTTCGAAAACTGCTTATCTAGAACCCTTCTGGTTCCAGCTGCTCGAATATGAAGACTTGTTGCCTTTTAATGATTGAATTCAACTCTTACATACCAAAATAATATTTTGACCTGAACTTGTAATTACAAATATCGTTTCTGTTTTTTTTTCATTTTCAACATGAAAGAACTTGTTTGTATGAGAAAATAATCATCAGACAAATAAGATAAGTGAATCAGTAAACACAATAACACAGAAAAACTGGATGTGATTATTCTGTGTTGCAGATGTGAAAGGAGCCACTGACTCATCTTTACCTGCTGCAGCTCAGGTGAGAACCAACCTGAACCCTGTATCACCTCATGCACAGCACTTAGAAGACTTTGCAGTACCGTCATTTTTAAGTAATATCTAAATTTTATATTCTTTCCAACTTTTGTTGGTGTTGAAATGTTATTATCCAAATGAGCTCAGAAATATGGAACATCAGGAAGAGCTGCCATTAATGGAGTTACCGGTACTCTCTCTTTAACAGGACAGCACATCATGCGGCGGCCACAGCAGCAGCGGCTCCACCTCCTCTCTCTCCACCCCTCCCTCCGTCTCGCAGAGCCCGCCCCAGCCTCAGCTGAACGGCGTCCCTGCTATGGGAACGACCCCGGCTGGCCTTGGTGGGGTTGCAGGGCTGATGGGTGCTCTGGGTGCAGGAAGTACGCTGGGTATGGGAATGGTCGGGGCGTTGAACGGGGTGATCCAGGCGCCAGGGGGCACAGCCAGCCCTCATACACACACTACAGCAACAGGTGTCACAATACCTGTTAGTAACAGGTATGTCAGACAGCTGCTTTTATCACAACAAGTAAACAAAAAAAGCATTTTCAGCTTTTTCAACCAACCTACAGAAGAAAAAACAGAGTCATTTTCAACAAGGTTATTACATACACTGTTATATTACCTTATTTCTGCCAGTAGATTAATGACCTCCAAATGTGTTTCAGTAACCTTTTTGGAATATTAACCCCCTGTTGCTTTGCCACATCCAAAAGTACTGTATTAATGTAAATAACCGAAGAATTCCTACATCAGGAAACATGTCCTCGTACTTATCTGTGTTTCTTACGATGTTTAAACATGTACTTTATTGCATCCTCTCCTGTCTGTTTCCTCTGCTTGCGTGTTGGATTCTAACAACAGCTCAACAACTAGTAAAAGCAGGTGAGACGAGAGTGAAGCTTCACAAAAACCTTCAGCTCGGTTCCCATTGTGTCCTCGGAGTCACAAGAGATTGCATGAAGATGTAGAACTGCTTATTTTGAGGGTGGTTATGTAAAATGTAGGGGTGGGAATCACCAGAGGCCCCAAGATACGATATTATCACGATTACGATATTATCACGATTACGATATTAACACGATACTTGGCTCACAATTACGATATTATCACGATACTTGAGTCACGATTACGATATTGTCACGATACTTGAGTCACGATTACGATATTATCACGATGCTTGACTTACGATTACGATATTATCACGATGCTTGACTTACGATTACGATATTATCACGATGTTTGACTCAGGATATGATTGCGATTTTAAACATTTTGCAAGAATTGTGATACAATATATTGCGATTAAGCTTTTTTAACTAAATATCATGTCCACAAAATGAAACTACTTCAACTTTTAAATAAGGGAGTAAGTATATTTCAAGGTTCCTGAATCAAGATTATTCAATTATACTCCTCTAAGTACATATCAGTTTCCCTAAACAGACAACATTGTCATCTGAGAGGGCTGAATTATGTTAAGGATCAAATCAAATAATGAGTGTGAAGAATGGGAAGGAAGACTTGTTGAATGTAATGTTGTCTTTCATATTGACTGCTTTCCTCTGTTAATATCTCTGATTCTTAGTTATTTATAAATGAACATTTGTTGTCGTTGTTGTTACTGTTATTATTTCGAATAAGTCAGGTGCGAGATACTTTCATTGGCTCTTTATTTTTTACATTGCCTAGTTTTTATATTCAGTGAAAATAAGAGGTTCTAAATGCCCAAAGTATTACTGTAATATACTTAAAATAATACAATTAAGTTCTATTCATCTGCAGGTGTATTTGCATTATTCTATGATGAATTTGTCACCATTTCTAAGCATGTGAGAATTCAAGGTTATAGCCAGAGAATGCATATCTTTTGTACTTCCACAGACAGGAACATATCGTGTATGTGCACCATGCGTTTATGTCACACCAGCTAAATTATCACTGAAAATGTCTAGGGAACTGATCTCTTAAAAAGAGCTGAAACCCTGATGTTTGCCTTGAAGTGGCAATTTGTAAGCACCGATATGTAGTTGTATGTTTTATTTGGCTGCAGATGGGAGATCCTTGTTTAGATGTCTTAGCTGTTACATGGGAGCACGAGGACGGCCTGTTTTTATTTGTTTTTCTGACTGTTTGTCGTGTTTTGTCCCGTCAGGCTCGGTCTGCTGTCAGAGCAGCAAAGACTTTTTCTGCAACATCACCAGCTCCAGCAGCTGCTCGCCTCACAGCCTTCAGCGGTATGACACACACCACACACACACACACACACACACACCACACACACACACACACACACACACACACACACACACACACACACACAGCTAAATGCAAACAAAAACATGGCGCTATCTTTTCAGAAAATGCCTGAAATCACCATTATGCAGCCAATTGTTCTGCTTATTTCTGTTCCTTCATGTAGTCCATCTTATACAACTCGTTTTCCTTGCTTCATTGTCTACAATTATCAATTTATCCTAACCTTTTTCTCCTGCATTTCCTTCTCTCTCTCCCCCCCCCCCCTCTCCTCCAGGAGCAGCAGCAGGTGTTGCTCTACCAGCTGATGCAGCAGCAGCAGGACCTCCAACAGCTGCAGTCCCTGTCCTCCTCTGGCCAGATTCCCTCCATCCCGCTGTCCTCTGCTCAGATGCCCATTAACAACCTGCTGCCCAATGCCCAGAGCCAGGGCCAAAGCGCCATCACCGCCAACCCCTTCCTGGCTCTGCAGCACACACACGGCGACGCGCATGCCCCGGGGGCACAGAAGCAGCGGCTCGCCGAGAAGGCCGTGGGCGTCGCGGGGCAGGAGAAGACATGATGGCAGATGCTCTTTTGGTTGTTTTTGATTTGTATTTTTCTGAAACTAAATATGCAGAGTTTTCGAGGACATCGGGACTGTTGGTCAACTTTGTCGTTCAGTAACAACAGAAAACACCGACAGCAGAGAAACCTGTTTTTCTATTCAGTCATCTGTGCTCATTCATCATCGCACATTTTAGCGAGTGATGCGTTCACTTGCATTCGACCTCGCCAGGTTTATTTTTACAACTTTTTTCAGGTTAGAGTCTTAACACAGCATTGTGTTAGTAAAAAAAAAAATATTTATTTCCATCCATTTTTTTTAGATTTAGTGCTGCTTCAGGTTCAGAGTTTTCACTGTTAACATAATGACTTTCATTTGATGTCACTGGTAGCATCTTAGTGTTAGTGTTGGTAAATAAGCACATGGTGTGGCTGTTCTAGTTTCAACACTTTAAATATAGTCTTCTCTAATCATCATTCAGTTTCTTCTTTCCCTTTCCACTGTCTCCTCTCTTGAACATGTGTCTCATCTTCCACACTCACATCCCTCTCTGTCTGCTCTCTCTGCTGTCTCACTCTCTCTCAGGGGCCTCAGCTATCAGCACACAAGCTAGCAAACACACAGAACTACAGACCTTAAAAGGAAAAGTAGCTGAAATACATGAATATAAAAAAGAAATATTAAAAAGAAAACTACAATACCCAACCACAGGACTTAACAGAAGCAGATCTATGTTTGACATCTGTGTAGCGGTCCCTCGGGGAAACGTTGGTTGAGAGGCTTGTGAAAATATCCCTCACGTTCTCGCCTTCTCTTCCTGTCTTTCTTTCACTCCGCTTGTGTGGATCCTTTAATGTCAGTGAGCCAAGACTTGAACACGGTCACCGCAGAAGCCTTGCTTTTTGACTGTCTCTTCTCTGGGCCAGAAACAGGGGGCTCACTCAGGGAAGTGAAGTGTTAAGAAGATATTTAAAAAAAGAAGAAAAACCGCTAGTTGAATGTTTTGATGGATGTATTTATCCACACAGCACAAGCTCACAAAGAGATATTATGCAGTTGGTTATCAGCTGATGGAAGTTGTCACAGTTCATCTTTCTGATTGAGCCCCCCGCTGCACCTACCTCTCGAGCAGGACCAGCCTATCAGGACCTAAAAGGCCGACAGCAGCGGCCGCAAAAACACACACAAACAAAAAAAAAAAGAAAAAAGTCAGGACTGGCCAATCAGGGTCAAAAACCCAAGTGCCTGAGGCCAAGGAGGGGGTATTTTGGGGTTAGTATTCCCTTTACCCGAGTCACTCAGCCCAGCTCTTCACAACTCTACTGATGTATTTAAGCTGCGTTGCTGCTTTGCTGCTGCAACAGATCACAAATAGACTCTTTAATGTCTCTTAAATAAAACCAGGAAAACTACTTCTGCTGCGTTCTCTGATAACAAAGCCAACTTTGTATTGTGCTTTTTATTTATTGGGAGTTTTGTTTGTGTAACAGGCGTAAGATGTTCTATTTTAAAAGCCTGCTGGTGTTGCAATTTAACATCATTTTGTACTACTGTGTAAAGTTTTGTTTGTCTTGTTTTTTTCACATACAGTCAAATCTTGCTGTAATCCCTTTCAATAATCTGTGTTGTGTTTAGAAGCTACATGAGAGTTGGCTGATTGGGGAGGGGGTGTGGCTGTATATAGCTATTTGTAGGGAGGGGGGCAAAGAGGGGGTGTTCAGTGGCTGTTTTTACCTCGTTAAGTGTACATAGACCTTTCTCATTGGCCGTTGCTGTACATAAGTGATTGTGAAGGAAAGCCAATGAAGCCTCAGTTTGTGTGTGTGAATCTTTAGGACCAGATGGAAAAAAAAAAAAAAAAAAAAAAAAAAAGGTTGACAGTGACTGGACACACAAAGTATTAATTTATTTTTATATGTTCAGGGACATTGTGTTTCTTTTTTAAGTTTTGCACCGTTTTCTTGCTGAGAAGTCATTTTATACTTGGGGCACCGTGTTTTCATCTGTGCACACATTCGTTGGATCATTTTTGTACAAATGGAAAAGAATGGGAGGAGAAATTTTGACATTGTATTTCAGAACACCAAAATAAAGAAACACTATGGATAAAGTAAAAGGAGCATTTGGGGATTTTCTTTCTTTTTTTTTTTTTTTTTTTTAAACCTTTGCACATCCATTTCATAAGACGAGTGTGGGGGAGAGCAAAGTGTCCATCTAAAACTTAAAGGTAAACACCTTCACACTGTCTAACTTGGAAAAAAAAACACATTTGTTTTATAAAAGCATACATCACAAAATCTTTTTTTAAAGATATTTATTTAGTTTTAAATGAATGAAGCATAATACTGATTAAAGAAATCAATAGTATTATACTCTGACACATTAAGACTTTTTAAACAACTTGAACCCAAAACTAAACTTGACTTCTAAACAAAGTGAAAACACTACATCTCAACATGTGTACTTCTTTATTCCTGTAAAAGTGAATTAGAACGGTAACAACACTTGATTTTATTCATTTAAAATGAATGTCATACCCTGTTCTAGATGGGAATATGTTTTTAAAAAAAAGTGTATCCTTGTTATTTCTATCATATAGGGAGGTTGGATTCAGTGCAAACAAAAGGCTTGCAACTCCTTTCTTCCAGCTGGACTCACAAAGGCACAATTTGGGTTAGCCCTTGTAGGCTTTCTTTAAGCAGCCAGGATTATACAGAGGAACTGGAAAAATACAAGCACACCTTAGCTGGAAGGACTGGATCCAAGTCACCACTGTTACAGCTTCACATGAGTTGATGTTAGCTGAACTGAAAGACACTTTGTCAAACATATACTGAATGTGAGATAGCTTCCTTGGATGTATCAAAATAGATTAAGTGCCAAAAGAAGCTGAACATCTTTAAATTTAAACAAGCCTCCTGTCCTAACAAACATGCACACACTGAAGGAGATGACTTCCAGCTGCCACGGAACAACCAGTGTGCTTCACCGTGTGTTTGAAGGTGGGGGCACCATTCTGCTACATCTGCTTCTGCCCTGGTAATTAAAAGCTCACTTTCCTCTTTCCTCCTGCCCCCCATCCTCCCTACACACACACACACACACACACACACACACACACACACACACACACACACACACACACACACACACTCTCTCTCTCTAACCTGCATTCGACAACACAACCCCCCTTTTCTCTTCTCTTTTCTCAAGCACTTGCTCACAAACCCCTCCTACTTCCAAATATCCCTCACCATGCACCCCATTCCCTCCACTCACTATCAGCCCTGTCAATCAAATCCAGGCTGTTTAAACACCATACAATCCCCACCACCACCCAGGACCATCTCTTTTATAAGCCCCCACCATCATAGCTGCCTCTCCTCCACTCTTTGTAATAGCAGCCACACACACACACACACACACACACACACACACAGGGCAGAGCTGCTGTGTCCATCATCGATCACACTCCCCAAGAAGCCTCCCTGGGGGTGGGAGGGCTTACCAGCTGATGGAGGACCCCTGTGTGCTGCCCGACCAGGTGCCTGATCACAAAGTCAAAACACTGCTAAGCCCTGGTGTTAGCAGACAGACAGACACACACACACACACACAGAGCAGACAGCAGGCCAGCAGGAGGGTTAAGCCTGGGATGATTAGACAAATGTGGGGCAGATATCTGTATGCTCTGCAGAAACATGGGTGCTGAAGAAGTTCCTGTCCCTGCTTTCTAGCATTTATTTTCTCCTGCATGTTTTCTCACGCACTTCTCAGAGACAACAAAGCTGGAGAGCAAATCTGCATCAAGAAAAGCTAGACGCAAAGTGACGTCATCGTGGGAAAGCTGGATTTGATTCTGCATTTTATTTCTTTAGTCCTGATTGCATCTATGAAAACTTAAGAACGCAGATCCAAGAGGTCGGACTCGATACATTTTGCAACTGTACTATGTACACACAAGTCACTGCATTCATTAGGTCAAAACAACTACAGGTGTCAGGTGGCTCATTTAATGTAATTTCAAATCAAAACTTGAAAATATGAAAATACAATTAAGAAAAAAGATTGAGCTGCTCTTAGTTTCACTTTCAAATAAAATTTTGGGGCAAAACATTTTGAAGTCAAATGTAGTTTTTAGTACTAGTTTAATGATTCATTAAATAATTAAATGATCAACAATTCAGTATCATTAATGGAAAATCAAATGACATATCTTAAGCTTTAATATATGCTCACTGATTACATTTTATTATCTGGTTACATTTTATCATATTACAAAAACATGATTGTTTTCATTATATCTGTAATATTGAAGAAATACAATGGACAAATCATTTTTTTTATTTTTGTTAACATGAAGTGTATTAAATTGTCCCATGATATCACCTATTCTAATGTCCAATCTCAGGTTACAGAATCATTTTGGCCACACTTTGACGTTATAAAATATCTTATTGTTGAATCAATATAATGCTGTTTCAGGATGAAGCTTTTAATTTAAATCCCCTGGTACATAAGAGACGTTTTTGTTCAATAAACCAATTAACAAGAATTTCTCATCTATTAGGAAAAAAAAAACAAAAAAAAAACTCTGCGACCCACATTTGGGTTCTGACCCAGCAGTTGAGAACCACTGTTCTTGATCAACTGAAAGCTGCTCAAACTTCAGCAAAGCAAAAAACGGACACCAAACTATAATTAAAGATTCACTGAGGGCCGTTAGTCTTTTCTTGGCATGTATGTGCACCTTTGGTAATTTGGTTAAAATATTGAAGTATGCCTCAGCCTCAAAGAGAGAGCCATAAAGCTGATAGAGGCCTGGCTGTAATAAAGCATCAGCAGGAGGAGGTGTGTACAGTAATGCAGTGTAAATCATCACAGAGTGGTGGCCATTAAAGAGGCTTAATCCTGTACAGGAACATGCAGTCAGCCACTGGGCCCCATCCAGAGCCGAGGGGAACCAGATCCAGAAAACTGAGGTGTTAAATGCCAAAGAGAAGGATGCGGATGAAGGGTACAAGGAGAGTGTAGGGGGAACAGCTGAGGAGATTCCTAGTCTAAAAGTGAGTGTGCGTGCCCCCCATAGGTCCTTCTCCTGTAAGATAATAGTGGACAGGAGAAGCAGCAGGATTCAGCCACATCCCTCTTCATTCTTAGATAGCTCGTATTCTTCTGCTCAGTGACACCCCTCTGTCACCCTAAGACACACACACACACACACTCATATGCAGATCCCTCCCAGTTCAATGAATTCAAACTCAGAGCAACACACATACAGTGATTGACGAGCTAACACAAAAACGGCACAAATGACATGAAATGTTAAATAAGCAATAACTGTTCAGTCTCTTCCTTTGGAGGTTTACACTGTTCAACAGAATACAGCTCCTGTCTTCACCCTGAAATACAGATAAGAGAAAACCACACACAACTGTACCAAAGGAAGCTTTCATCTAGAAAAAAAACAAAACAATTATTTACAATAAAAAATTAAATTCCTAACAAATCTTAGAACTTGACTCGTCAGGCTCATTGGATGATTGCAGCTGAGAACAAAATCAAAAATCTCAAACTGTCTAATTAGGAGGAGGTTCACATGCTTTGAAGAACTAATGGATGTTGTTGGAATAAATATTTGGATTATAGGATGATAAATGTGCACATGCATGGGAAGAAGATCCTAATGAGAAACCTCTGAACCTCTGAGGCTGAGGCACTCTTTTTTTTTTCTCCTTGACCAATGTGTGTGTGTGTGTGTGTGTGTGTGTGTGTGTGTGTGTGTGTGTGTGTGTGTGTGTGTGTGTGTGTGTGTGTGTGTGTGTGTGTGTGTGAGAGAGAGAGAGAGAGTGCAAGAGACTTAAAGAGAGATAAATCTATCTATCTATATATCTGGCATTGGCAACCATCCGAACAAAATTGCACATTTAATAAAAAATGAAAATTTCTTAACGCAAATGAATAAGCTAAATAAGAGTTACTCCTTATATAAATTACATATAATGCATTTATAATTTATGTATTATTTTTTAGATAAATTAAACCCTTTTCTATAAAGGTTGCGTTAAGAAAAATGCGTAATACGCATTAAAAATATGAATATCCATTCTGGGTATTTGCTGAAATTTTTTTTACAAAGGGTGTTCTGAACTGAAGGTAAGTTTGGTGAATGTAGGCACACCCGGGGAAAAGTGGATTTATATTGTTGGGCAGCACATGCAGCTGGTCTGCCCGGCGTGCAGTAGCGTCTCTCCCGAATTCAGCGGCTCCTGCTCTGCTCCTCTGCCGCGCTGAGTGAAGCGCTGTGTGGGTAGTGCTCCGTCCCTCTCCCGCTGCCTGCGGCTCCCACTATCGGCGGGAGGAAAGGAGCCTTGAAACCCGCAGAGAAGCGAGAAGGGTGACTACGCTTTACGCAAATATCGTACACATTTATCGGTGAATGAGGGGGGAGGAGGGGGGGGAGGATTTAAGTAAATAATGTTTCTGTTGTCTGCTTTTCCCCTTCGAAAGGGGAAATGCAGCACAGAGGCTACATGGTGGCAGCTCTGCTGGTGCGATACATGTCGCTACATTGTTAGTGGAGCCTATCTGAGAGATCGTTGTATGGATTCATGTTCATTCAAAATCAAATGAGAGAATTAACCAGGAGTAGTCATTTTCAACTAGCCTACTATTAATGTGGAAAACATATATTCATAGGCTACTTAGTGAAACGGAAAGAGCTTTAACTCCAGTGCCTCTATAAGTGTATTGAGGTATTTTCATCGACTAACATGTAATGTAGGCTACATTAAGGCAATATTAACTTGTATAGGCCGTAACAAACACGTGGCCAACGGTGAAGGTTACGACATATCACACTGTTTTTTTACTGCACATACATAGCCTAAAGTACTTGCAGTAATGTTTTGGTGACATGTTTTATTTTGATCGTTTTTAATATAATTGAATAGGATGTTTAGCAGTGATGTGTGATGTCTGTAGAATGTACTTACTCCGTGTGTGTTGTTTTGAAGACAATCGACCCCAACAGCAAACTGCAGGAAATCCACATAAACCACAGAGATACACTAAAGTATGTACAAATTCAATTCAACTCTACAACCCCCCCCCTTT